TCTGTTTCCCTTCCCCGACTCCCCAACACTGTTCCTCTCCCCCAATTCCCAAATAAAATCTTTAAAAAAAAAAGACATAGAAAGGCTGAATGGATAAGAAAACAAGACCCTTACATATGCTGCCTACGAGAGACTCACTTCAGATCGAAAGGCACACACAGACTGAAAGTAAAGGGAAGGAGAAACATATTTTATGAAAATGGAAGTGAAAAGAACAAAAAAAGCTGGAGTAGCAATACTTATACTAGACAAAATAGACTTTAAAACAAAGGCTATAACAAGAGACAAAAAAGGACCCAGTAATTCCACTTCAGAGTATTTGTCCAAAGAACCCAAAATGCTCCTTCAAGGGGACATGTGCATCCATATGTTCACTGCAGCGTTGTTTACAATGGCCAAGATGTGGAGGCAGCCTGGGTGTCTGTCGATGGAAGAATGGATAAAGAGGAGGTGGTACATATATACAATGGAATATTGCTCGGCCATGGAAGGGAATGGGTTCTTGCCATCTGTGGCGGCAGGGATGGACCTGGAGGGTGTTGTGCTGGGTGGAGTGTCGGACAGAGAAAGACAGATGAAAATGTGATTTTGCTTATACGTGGAATCTAAAGAACAAAATTAACAAAACAGAAATAAACTCATAGGTACAGAGAATATTTTTATGATTGTCAGGAGAGGGTTAGAGTCAGGGTGAAAAGGTGAAGGGATTAAAAAGAACAAACTGGTAGTTACAAAATAGTCACAGGGATGTAAAGCACAGGGAATATAGTCAATGATATGGTAATAACTATGTATAATGCCAGGTGGGTACTAGATTAGTCAGGGGGATCACTTCTTAAATTACATAAATGTCTAACTACTAAAAAAAAAACCCAACAATATTTTTCTGGGTTTTTGTGATATTCTTGACTTTATGTGACTTCCTTCATCATTCTAAATAAATATCTGCTTTCAAACCTAACTGGTTTTGTAAATTGTACAATTTTCCTTAGCCAGGGCTGCCAAGGCTTCAGGCCCTACAAAACCAGAGACTGCTCTGCCTAGGTGTCCCGGGGCTACACAGGCAGGGAGCCGGGTTTGCGGGCAGCCAGATGCTTCTGGGCTCCAACACTTCCTCAGTAAGGGACGGTTCACCACTAGGACAGCAGCCCCCTCCACCCCCAAAGCTTAGACCATAAAAACGTGACCTTGTGAGCATGTGAAACCATATTTTGGAAGGAGTTCCAGGCTGGGGGCACAGATGCCACCAAGACATGACCGAGAAGCCATGGATGTCACCCAGACTAACAAGCCTCGGCTGCCAGGACCACCTGCGGCCTCCCAGGCCGTTGGGCACCTTTGGCTGCCTGGCCTCAAAGCTCTGCTCACCCTGCTGTGTCTGCAAAGAGCTAGGCTCATGAGGGCCACTTGGCAGGTAGGGACAATGGCAGGTGGGGCCGAAGTCTGGCTCCTGGGGCCTCTGGGTTCCTCAGCCTCTGATGCTGCCCAGCTTGTGGCAGGGGTTATTGGCTGTTTTTGGATTCATGATGTCCCTTGACCTGTGACATCTTCGATGAACTCAGGGAAGGGGTGCGCCAAGGGGTGTTCCTAGCTGTCACCATCTCTGGCCTCCCCTCGCGGTCCTGACCTTTGTTTGGCAGGACTTGGATGTGTGGCCGTGTGCGCTGCAGTCCACTGTTTACCAGTAGGCGCAGAAATGCTCTCAACAGTGACAATCCAAACAGCTTTGCTGTGACAGGGCTCACTTTCCTCACCGCCCCCTCACCAGCGGCCGGAGCCCGCGTCAGCAGTGCCAGGCCCGTTAATCATTGACATCGACACCATCCTGATGGGGACTCCAGGACAGGCAGGGCCTGGAGGCCTGAGTCCATGAACCCCCTGCTGGGCTGGCAGGGGGCAGGGGCTCCCCGAGGCCCCCAGGCCTGGCTCCTGAGTCTGTCCCCACCTTGCTCCTTCCCTGGCCTGGGAGTTGCTCCCGTCCCTGGACATAAGAGTCAACACAACATGTGCATCCCTGAAGACTGAGTGCCTGATGGCCCTCCCTGGTGTCTTTCAAGGTCAGGGGTGACACAGCCCTAGTACCCCAGTTCTCTAGCTGCTCTTCCCCTCGGGAGACAGCAGGGCCAGATCTCAGTCTCATCCTCCTTCCTCTAGGGATAAACCCCTGGGCTCCCTAAAGCCTTCCTGAAGTGGGGAAGGGTCTGACAGGGGTCAGGTGGCAGAAAGCCTGGTGCCTAGCAGCTGGTTCCTTCTAGAAGGAGCTGGGAGATGCTGGCATGCTCCCAGTGGACAAGGAGGCCCCTGTCCTGGAATGGAAGCATCTTCTCTGAGAAACTGGGGCTCAGAAGACTGGCATCCCCTCCAGGTGGGACAGGCTGGCTGCTCTGAGCTTGTGGGTCAGGCCCCCTGCCTCCTCCGGCTGACATTGGCTTCAGGGTGGGCACCTGCTGACCTCACCTGACAACCCCAGCGCCCAGAGCAGGCTCCAAGAGATCTGGAAGGCTCTTCCTTATCTGGAAATTGACCTGCAACAGCCCTGTCTTTCTCACACCAAGGTTTCTGGTTCACCTTCCAGATGTGTGACCTTTACAGTCTCTGAGAAACGCAGCACAGGTGAGAGTGAGCCACGAAGCGGCCGCTGTGAGCCCACAGGGACCCGGAGCGGGGCATGACGCCATGCGGGTGGGAGCAGGGCCAGAGTTCACCCTGTGCCAGCCTCCCAGACCCTCAGGGACTATATGTTGAGCTCAATGGAATGAGTTGGCCATGTGCCAAGCCTGGAAGGGCAGTGTCAGGGTGGGCAGGGCCCCAGACAGAGTGCCCAGGCCAGCCCCCTTCCCCGGCCCCCGCCTGCAGGCTCTCCCACCGTGTCAGCCCTCCCTGACACAGGTGATGACTCTGCCCTGTGAAGTGCCCACAGCTGTGTGTCCCCTCAGCAGATGGCTTCTGTGACCAGCTCCTTAACTGTGTGCCACTGTTGGATAAATGTCAGCCCCACTCTGGCTGAGGGACCCAGCATTCACCAGCCCGCAAACTGTCCAGGTGGAGGGGAGGAGGGCACCGTGGCAGACAGGCCCCAGCAGCCCCGGGAAGGCAATGGGCGGGGTGTGGACAACCCGGTGCCCGGTGCCCAAGCCCCTTTAGGACAGGGCTCTGCACGGGTCAAAGCAACCCAGAACCAAGGAGCAGCTGTGGGGTGGGGGGCGTTTGAGTAGCTGGTTCAGTGAAAAGTGTGGCCAGGAGATGTTGGGAAGGAGGGAGGGACGGAGAGACAGGAGAGACGGGGAGTGGCCCAAAGGCTGACAAGGATAAAGGGGCGTGTTCTCTGTTAGATGGGGGCGGGTGGGGGGGCAGGGTCCAGATTTAGTTCTGAGGGAGGGAGAAGCCCCTGCAAGGGGAACTGGGAGAGGTTCCGAGTGTGAGGACACAGAGGGCCAGGTGTTGGGGCTGTCCTCAGTGTGACAGGCACCTGGGACAGCAGGGAGGGGCAGCTGGCAGCGGAGGAAGCCAGAGAGGAAGAAGGTGGAGAGGGACCAGTGCCCAATGGAAACAGACTGCTTAGGGACAGCAGATTTGTGGACAGCAGAAGAGAGAAAAAGAGGTTCAAGAATGAGGCCTGGGAGGAGGCACCCCACCCATCACAAAACCAAGGACTTTCTGGACACTCTGTGCAGCAGCCTTCCTCCCGCCCCCCACCCCTGCCCCATGGGGCTCCAGGGTCCACAAACTGGGTCCCTCCCTGCACGTGCTCAGCCATGCAGGTGGCACCCCTGCCCAGGCGGGCTGCAGAGCTGGGTGCCCTAGCCCAGACCCTCACCCCCACTTGCAGCGGTCACCCTTGCTGACTCCAATCAGGCCAATGCCACAGAGGAAGAGAAAACAAAATGTCACAACTCCCCAAAGCCACCTCCTGCATGTGAGCATGTCCCGGAAGGTGTCATATACCCTACTGCGGGGCCAGGACACTTAGAACAGAGAGGACCAGGTGTGTGTGTGGGGCTCACAGCCCCGAAACACCTGCCCACCTCCTTGTTTGTCCGGGAAGAGGCCAGACGGATGCTGGGGAGGCCTCCCGACCCTCGCCCACAGTTCTAGGAGCTGGGCCTCGCGGCTGCCAGCCACACACAGCTCGGGCGCGCTGACCACTGGCGGTGCCTCCGGGTCCGGGCCCGTCCACCTCTCGTCTCTCCAGGAGCGGGCACCTCGGCCAACAGGACTCGGTGCGGGGCCCGCGGCCTCGGAAGTGCGGGCGGCGCCGGGAGGACCCCATGCCACCCCCACCCCCGAGGTCGCCCCTCCGGGGCCGGTCGCCGACTCACCGCCGCGCTCACTCCGCATGCCGATGGTGCCGCCGGTGTAGATGGCCAGGAGCCGCCGCTCGGGCTCCACCGCGCGTGCCATGCCGGGCCAGGGGACCAAGGGGGGCACTGTAAGAGGCTGGGGTACCGGGGGTAACTGCGGAAGACTGCGGGGGACCCCAGTGGACCGGGGGACTCCGGGGAGCCGGCGGAGAGCGGCAAGGACAGCCCGGGAGGGGCGGGGCCTGGCGGG